GGAGCCCCTTTATTAATCCAAGGGGTTGAGGAGACACCACAGGGAGGCACTCGAAGGGACCAGCAGCAGCAGCAGCAGCAGCAGCAGCAGCATTAGCAGCACCAGTGCCAGCAGCAAAACCCCAAAAAGGAGACGCGAAATCTAGGTTGCTGCCTGATACCCCTACTGCTGCTGCACCTGCTGCTGCTCCTGTTGCGTCTGCTGATCCTGTTCCTGGTGCTGCTGCTGCTGCTGCTGCTGCTGCTACTTCTGCTGCTGCTGCTGCTGCTGCGCTGCTGCTGCGTCCCTTTATAGTGTATATGCCTAAGCCACAGGCAATAAGATGTGCCTCTGATAAGACAGGAAGACGCAGCAGCAAAGGTAAGGCCTCAGCAGGCACCAGCTGCTGCTGCTGCTGCTGCTGCTGTTGCTGTTGCTGCTGCTGCTGCTGCTGCAGTTGCTGCAGCTGCTTGATGAGCAACTCTTGGGGGAGAGGAGAGACACCAGCAGACTCAATTGATGATCTAAGAAGAAAAAAGAAAGAAAAAGGAGACAAAAAAAAAGAGACAAAAAAAGGAGACAAAAAAAAAATAATAAATAAGAAGGAGACAAAAAAAAAGGAGAAAAAATAAAAAAAAAAGAAAATAAATAAATAAATAAAAAAGGAGACAGTAAATAAATAAAATAAATAAAAAAAAAAGAGACAAAAAAGGAGACAAAAAAAGGAGACAATTAATTAATTTACCTATTTGTTGTATAGAGACGCAAAGGAGACAAATTGTCTGCTGCTGCTGCTGTCTCCTTTCTTCTCCTCTCTAGCTGCAGCATTGCTGCTGCATCTGCTGCTGCACCGTACTGCTGCTGCTGCTGCTGCTGTTGCTGCTGCTGCTGTTGTTGCTGCTGTTGTTGTTGTCCCCTTCTAGCACTCCATCCACCACCTGCAGCAGCACCAGCAGCACCTGCTGCTGCTGCTCCTGCTGCAGCAGCAGCAGCAGGACGCCGCTGCAGCAGAGGAGAGTCCCCTACACGAAGAGAGTGGAGACGCACGCGCTGTCCCTCTCTTAGTGTCTCCTTTGTCTCCTCTACCCATGGTACATACACTACAGCAATAGATCTACGTAGCTGCTGCAGCAGCACCTGCTGCTGCTGCTGCTGCTGTTGCTGCTGTAGAGGGGCCCCACAGGGGAAGAGTCCATTTGGTTGCATGCACTCATCTACGGTGCATGCAACACTATTACCTCCTCTTGCTGCTGCTGCTGCTGCTGCTGCTGTTCCTGCTGTTCCTGTTGCTGCTATTTGCTGCAGCAGCAAGGCATCAACTATAAAGACACGAGTTTGCTGCTTAATTTGCTGCTGCACTGCAGCAGCATCAGCAGCAAACTCCTCCATTAGTCTTTGCTGCTGTCTCTCTAGCTCCTTAGCTCCTTCCCATGGGTCTTCCTCCTCATCCTGCTGCTGCTGCTGCTGCTGCTGTTGCTGCTGCTGCTGTGCTGCTGCTGCTGCTGCACATTCCTCGCGGCGCTGCTGCAGCTGCTCTGTTAGTGCAGCAATAGGTCCCTCTTTTGCTGCCTCGATGATTTGCTGCTGCTGCTGTCTCCATGCATGCCCATCTTGTAGGGACAGCAGCAAACTTTTCTGCTGCTGCAGCTGCTGCTGCTGTTGCTGCTGCCCCCCCTGCTGCTGCTGCTGTTGCTGCTGCAGCAGCAGACAATGAGGAGGCAGCACACGCAGCACTACTGCATCTATTAAGGGGACAGTACCCCCACAAGGAGACAGGGAGCGGAGAGGAAAGGGGACATATTGCTGCAGCAGCAGCAGACCTAATCCTTTAGGTATAAAAGGAGACAAACTGCAGCAGCAGCAGCAAGAAGACAGCAGCAATGCTGCAGCAGCAGGAGACTCAAGGGGACAATAACCATCCTTGTTGCCAGATAGCTGCGCACCCTGCAGCAGGACACGACGGAGCCGCAAGGGAGGAGGGCCCCAGTACTCCTGCTGCTGCTGCTGTTGCTGTTGTCTGTCTCCTCCAGCAGCAGCACATGCTGCTGCTGCTGCTGCATGCGAAGGCCGCAGCAGCAAACTCAATGCAGCAGCAACAAAACAATCCTGTGTCTTGCCACATATATAATAATATCCATCTGTTAGCAGCACCTCAGACACAAGCTGCTGCTGCTGCTGCTGCAGCAGCAGCTGGAATTGCTGCTGCTGCTGCTGCTGCTGCTGCTGCTGCTGTGGAGGAGGAGGACAGCAACGGTACCCCAATATACCTAAGACTAGAGGGACAGCAGCAGAAGTGTCTCCTTCGCATACACGACGCAGAGGGGACCTCCATCCATTTGCTTCTTTTGCTGCTCGTTGCAGCAGCAGCTGCAGCAGCAGCAGAGGATCAGGAGGAGGAGGAGGAGTAGTAGGTGTCTCCTTTGCCTGCATGCAATTAGCAGCAAATTGCTGCCGCCAACGGAGACACATAAACCATACAAGTAATCGGTAATGATGATTAAACCAATCACGAGTAAATCGG